CCCTGGAAAGACAGTAAAAATGCAGATAGCTTTGCCCTGTGAGGATGGCATATTGGGTATTTCAGAAAGCGCCTTTTATCTCACAAAAACAGCAAAATTATCATGTGACAGAGCAGTTGCCATGGCAATTACGCATTTTTTGTCAAACAGCAAAATGCAGAGAGGTCTAAAACCTAGGAAAACCCAGACAGGGTTCCTAATACCAAAGGATGAGTGGAATTTCTGTTGCCCAGTGTTGCCAAGCCCCCTTTTCATTATTTCACACAGCACACAGAACAGACGCAATGCATGGGAGAGAGCTGACACAGTCAGGCAAGGAGGAGACTGGAAAGAGCAAAAATTAACAAGCAGACAGAATTTACATAGAAATGACATTTACTAATGCATTTAGCTTGTTCTTAGTGCAAGGAAAAAAATAAAACCAAAATAAAATCATAAGAGCACAGTACAGAGACAAAGACATATTCATTAGTATTATCATTACTGACAACTAAGCCAAAGCTCTGCACGCAAAGCACTCTCACCAGTTGATGAGATTTTTCCCCGAGTAGGAGCTGAGATACAACCTCACGTACTTCCCAACCACCCGGGCCTCTCGGCCAGCAGCTAAGGAAGAGGCGCATCCTCCCTTGGGCAACAGAGGGATGCTCTGGCTATTAGAAGCTCCACATCTGCTGAGTTCAGTCTTGTCACAGGTAAAAGAACCAGCCCACACTTGTTCTCTTCCATTGGGTCTTTGCCCAGGTAACCACTGAGAAACTGGGCTCTGCAGACCTGTGCTCCCTAGCGAGTGCAGAACCCATAGCTGCTCGACCCACTGCTACACTGTAGAGCTGCACCTGTGAGTACGTCAGAGCAACAACAGCGGGATCTGGCTCTCACCAACATCAGTACAACTTGGTAATGAAATTCTCAGGATACCTTACCTTTACACTGTTCCACACTTTCACTGTGAAATCCTTACAACTGCTCCCCATCAGCAGACAACAGTGAAGCAGCATATTTATTCCAGAAATGAAGTTTGGTTTTGACCCTAATCAGAACTAAAAAGATCTGAAGTGTTGGAAACCTTTAGTTTTCCTCAGCAGGTGTCATGGACATGTTCTTCACCTAATGCAGGCAGCAATCTCCTGTGTGAGCACAACCCCAGAGCAGCATGGAGCAAATCACTCCTTTCCCACCCCCAGGAGAGCCAGAGGCAGCTGCTAACCTTTGCCTTGCATATCTCCTTCACCTCTAACTCCAGACAGGCTAAAGAAATGCAAGAATACACCCAGGGAGCCAAGCCCATAAGGAAAGAGTACTGATCCAAGCCTGAAAAACTCACTGCAGCACAGCAATATGGCCTCCAAGGAAATGATGACTACCCCTTCATCCCTTCGTCCACCTCCTTTCTCTAAAACTGCCTACTGGAAATGATATACTGATTTGACTGAAAATTCACCCAGGAGGAGAGGGCTAGTATAATGCCCATGGACCACTTAGCCTTCAGTTAAGCTCTGCGTTCACAGGTTTTGACCCACAGAAAGAGCTTCTGTATACTCAGTGATCCCCAGAAAATAATTTAAACTGAGCCATCTAAGAAGACTGTCCTCCTCTTCCAAAGAGCAAAAGTGCAAACATTTGGGTTGTTTATGCTAAGCCTGATTTTATTCACTTTCAGATATTTCTGGAACCCTTTTAGCTCCTAAATAATTTGCAACAGCAACATCAATATTTAGGATATTTGAAAAATAAAAAGGAAAAGGATGCATTTAGAGTCAGATTAACTTGCTTCTGTGAGGTTCAGTAACAGGATTTTTAGTATGCCTGCACAATGCTGCCACAGTTGCCCAGCAACCGGCAGACAAACATCTAATGGCACCACCAGTGAATGAAAAGAAGTTCTAATGAATCTCACCTAGGTGAGAAGATGCTTCCCCCAGACCAGCTCACTCAGTTTCCTTGCTGCCTAAATCCTTCTAATACAGCCTTACTTGTCACCAAGTATATATTTCTAATGGGCTGATGGAAGCCCTTTCATAGGGACATTCTTATTTTGGTTTCACTCAGAAGGGTGACGCTCTCTAAAACATTTGCTGTTCATTGTGAGACCCTATCCTCAACTGGACTCCTCTTCCAGGACCAAAAGTCTTCATGCATTTGCTGGGCCAAACCCTATGCCCAATGGAGGAATTTGGACACAGTCCTATGACTAGCTCTCGACATATCTGTGAAGTCTAATCCCCTGTTAGTGAGAGTACTGCCCTCAATTTTAACTGGAGCGTAGCTATGAACTACAGTCTATTTACTGTGGTAAATAAAAGAGAAAGGCTGGGAAGTATCAGATGATTAACCACTTGGCTGTACAGGGATCTATCCAATGGTCAAGTTAGCCAAAAAATTGCCCTTTGACAGGGACCAGAGTCAGGTCTTCAAGAGCTGGTAGCTGATAAAAGGGCTCATACAATGGGCATAACCTGTCCACAAGGGTATGTCTTCCTACTTGTCCTTCAGCAGCGACCTGCAAGACACCTACTAAGGACACTTGCAAAGAATGGATTTGGGAAAACACTCATAATAATACAGAAAATAGATAGATTTGTCAACGAAACCCATGGAGACATGTCTGCCTCTAAACACTGAATGCTCTTCATTGTGAATTACAGTGAGAAAGAGCAGCAGAGAGAGAGTGCAGGTACAGCATTTAACAGCAGCTGAAGTGCTAGCCTCCATTTGGCCAGGGCTTTCAAAGGGAGCAAGTGAATGGAAAGGCTTTCATTTTGCTATCAAGCAGTTCCCTGAAGTGATAGGGGAATATTTTCACTCTAGCCTCACCAAAATACAGTAGAAAATTCATTCACCTCTACTTTTGTCATCTCCTATCTCTTTCTTTCTCCTGTCTATGATATATCCCTTCAAGGCTTCATTTTTTCTCACCAGACAACATGACTCAACAATGCCAAGTATCAAAAAGCTTGTAACCTTGGCCAACCCCCCAAAAATGCTATTTTTGATGGAACAAGGAATCATTCAATTAATCTATCTTTCTTTCATGTTCTCTCACTGCCAGATCCAAAACTGTTTCTTGTTTACAATTTCAAAAAGATGATCCTCTGGGATTCTTTTACTGTATGCTTTGATTCAAAACGTACACATGGTTTCCTAATTCTGAGTGATAAGATAGGATTATTTTCTGATCCCTAAGCACAGTTCAAACCCTAAAATGTATATTTCCACTGCCTTTAGTGAGACACTTTAAATGTTGAACACCTTGTTCAGCTTTCGGCAGAACACAGATGGAGATAAGGAGACAGTTGCCAGGGAGACCTAGCAAACTCTTAGTAGTGTGGTTTCACTGATACTATTTCCTAGCGAACGTCCATGGCTGAGGATGACAACCAACCTCAACAGTTCCATTTTTGGGGGACAAAATGGCTTGGCATGGCGAAGCAGGTCTGGCGTGCAAGCTCTGAGATCATGATGCAAAGCTTACTCCTTGGTAATATCCCAATGTAGTCTGGGCCCTCCTGTGATGCCAAACAAATCCTTTCTTTTTCTCAGAGATTTGAGAATTTTTCTGGATACTGGCAGCTCCAAGGTTATGGCTGTTTTCACTTAGGTTCCTCCTCCTATGACTGTATTTTGGGAGGGTGGAAAGGAGCCTGAAAGTCAAGAATCACTCCTCTAGTTCTGAAATGTCATGACTTTTAGATTTCCATAGAGGCAGTATTTAACAATACATAACAATATTATCTATAAGTTTGTTATAAGATTCCTAGCAACCATATTAATGACAATTATGTACAATTTCAATGGTTGCCTGAAAGAACTGTACAGAGCACAGCAAAACAGGCCTTTTTGACTAACAATTGTACACATAACCTCTTCATTTAACTAGTTATAGATTAGTCTTTAGACACGCAAATATGTCACATGTATTTTTAATGACTTACATGTTATTTTTCACTCATCATATTTTAGACAGACCGTAAAAGATTTTGCCCCTTTGTGATGCTATTTCCCCCTTTTCCTTACGAAATTCAGCTCTCATTTTATAATCCACAGCAAGATCAAATATCATGTTCTCTTAACACTCCATTAGCCTTGTGAACCCTTCCACATATATCAGAGGAGTTACACGGGGCTACAGACTAGGCAAACATGATCATTTACAAATAAAACAGCATTAGTTGCAACCATGAATTAATAATGGAAACCCTAGACTCTTTTACCTTCACTGCCACCAAGATCTTGTCCTGCTCGGGACAGAGGTTATAGCATTCAGCCAGAAAGACTTTCCCAAAGGCTCCTTCTCCCAGCTCTCTTTTAAGAACGATATTGTGGCGCTTGATGTGCTGAACGACTGTGAACAGAACACAAAGCGGAGGTCAGAAGTGAACGGCAAGGCCGCGACGGGAAGGGGTCCATGCTGGTGGCCACAGGGTGACAGGCTGGCCTGCCCAGTGCTGTGCGTATCATGGAAAGAATCGACATGCACACTAGTCACCTATTAGCGCTTCGTCCGAAAAGAATGTCTTAATATATTTACATTTGGACCGTAGTGCATTTGCTGCATAAGAAAACATGGAATTAAGAGTCACCTGGGAAAAAGCTATTTATCATCATCCCTGGATGAGTGCTGTGGAGCATATATAACAGGGAACATTGCTTTTTTTAAGCCATGAAGGAAAAAAACATCAGAAAACAAAACAAACCTTTCTCATACCACTTCTATTATTTTTTCTCTAACAACAGCTGAACACTCATTCAAAGCCAAAAATGTTCGGAAGGAATAAAGTCTCAAAATTAACCTAATCCAAGAAAATAAAATACGCCTCCTTTTCATTACATCCAACTTACTCTCTAATACTCTTTTCTCCTGCTCATCTTGTTTTAAACTGCTGCTTTCTCCATCTGTGCTATACTACAATTACTATAAAACAAAAATGTCTTTCTCAAAAACATGATTTATAGCATTGCTGTGAAGTAAAAGAAAAGATGGACGATGCTTTTAGTCAGTGTAGTGGCAGTGTAGTGCTGTCCAGAAGCAACTGGTACAGACATTACAGTCCTTCAGTATTTTTGTTTGTCTCATTTTACATTTCCCTTTCAGTGCAAACTTCCATTAAAAAATTCAATATTTTAAAATACTGAACCAGATTTTGTAGAATATACCACCAATGTGCAATGTTCGAGCTACATATAGCAGCTGCAAGATCAGTTTAACTGGCCAGTTCAACAGGGTTTACAGCTTGTATTGCTGAAATTATTCAAAACAGCCAGCGTCTGCTGATGAACTTGACCTTGGTGTGTTTAGCAGCTTTTGCAAATGCTAAACTTCAGCCCTGCCCAGATAGAGCCCACTTGCAACTTATTTGCTAAATCCAGTGATGTAAATAATGGTGCACAGGCATCCAGTGGCTTCTGCAAAGGCATGAATCTCACCTCAGCAGCGTAACTGGTGAGACCGGCGCTGAACCTATGCAGAGGGCAAACCGAGAGCTGGGATATATTCAGATGTCGATCAGCCTCTGGCTCTGTGCCTGGCCATACCTACCTTCCAAACTGGGCATTCATTTACTTAGAAACAACCTTAACATCATTACTAAAGGATGTATAAAGGAACACTACTGTTAAGAGCAGCGGGGAAAAACAACACAGACTCCCCCTTGCCATCAGCAACATCTGGAGAAAGGGATCTTGGTTGAGGAAAGGAAAATATTTATGTTCCACATCGTCACTCTACAAGGGTGCAACCTCAGCACACTGCTTAGGAGTATATTTAATAATACTGTACCTGCATGTGATGTGAGCCTGATGCTGTATACGCTGCACATGGCTGATATGTATCTTCAAGTACTCTCAATCCCAGTGTTCCCACTTTCCATCCCAACACATTTCTGCTTCAACAGCGCATGGGGCACAGCCAGAGTGGCTGGGGTGAAGTGGCTGTGATCACATTCACTCTATAAGGCAGCCAGTCCCTTGGAGAGCACGGTAAGGAAAAGTGTCTTTTTAACATGTGCCAAGCCAATGAAAAACTGCTTCTGCCATTGTTGTGGCAGCAGGGGGAGATAATTATGAGAATAGTGCTCCTGCTTCCTCCTCATATGACAGGTCTCTTATTAAAACTCGGAGGCCACACTTTCAATTAATAGCCAAGTTGACATTAAATGAGACCACAAGGTACTAGCATTTTTCATTCTTGTCAAATTCTGGTCTAGTGTAAAATTAAGTTTTACTGTGGTGATATTTTTATATGTATGTAAGTATTTACTTATATATGCATATATGTATGTATGTATTTATACACACACATTTTTGGCCAGCTGCTCAAGTACTGAGCAGCTCCCCTAGAGTCAGTAGGAATATGTTCTTTATTTTACTTTCCTTCTCAGCGTTGTATTTTTAAGTAAAGCATAAAGTACAGTTAGCACAAGAGACAGGCTTGAACCAAAATGTACCTTTTCCTCATAGATCCACATTAGGTGGCTTACCTCACCTCTACTAATACTCATAATAAAATAAATATCAAGATTGGGGTCTGTTTATCTCAAACATAATTTAAGAAGAGGATCCGGAATAATTGTATCTTCCTCATCCACTCCAGGCCAGCAGCTCATAGCAGACCTGAAATTTGCCCTGTTGTGCGGGATCACACAGAAACTGGTCTGCTTTCCTTCAGTTTTTCTACTTGTTCATGTCTCAACTCACAGGAAATAACTGAGTAAACAGTCCCTGATACTAACGGAGGTCTTCAATTACAGCTGAAGATGCAGGGATCATTTTTTTAAATGAAAGTCATTCAAAACTCTTTGGTTGATTACAGTGTTACAAAGGTTTCTCTATGCTTGCATGAGAAAAGTGAGGCGATTTGACAGACTGTAATTATATCTGGTTGTTTGGAGGGAACCCAATTATGGCCACACCAGGACATTTGAGTGGAAGGAGATGGAGACTTGGAACAGTTTCGCTAGGGAGAAGCTGGACTCGTTTCCACCCGAGCCCCAGAGGCCCTCCACGCCCCTGTGCCACCAGCATGGCAGGCAGCAGCACTGGATGAGGAGCTGAGCTGCAGGCCATGCAGCCTCAGCCAGGTTATTTTTCAGCTCACAGATAGAGTGCAGGCTCAAAGGCCATGATGACCCAAACCTTAAAAATACTTACTAATACACGAGCCGTTATTTTTTTCTAGCATTAGCCCGTGCCTTTGACCAGCTGTCCTCATCAGAGAGCAGACTGAAAGCACCAAGCCCTGTTTCGCTCTTGCTTCTGCTCAGCCAAAGCTGTCCTTCAGTCCTTCCTCTTGGGGGATTTCCTGCTTTCCCACTGCTTCCCCAGTATCACTACAAGACTGTCTCACTTCCATTCCCTAGAGAGAGGAGAAGTTCACTTCCATGTTACAAGTGTCATTTTTGTAAAGTGCCCATAACACCAGTTAACTTTCCATAGGCAGAGAGCATTGCTGAAGCGCTGGCCTACTGGACTCAGCAGTGAAACTCTACGTCAGTAGAGGGCAGGTGTCATTTCCTACTCTTTAATACTACCACCAAAGAGCTGGTGATAAACACAATCAACCTCTTAAATTTTGTTTGGGTCCTTTCCATTTTGAGCACAGAACAGCGCTGATGTTTGCCCGAGTGGTAAAGGGACGTTATTGTCAAGTTCCTGGAGGACTTCACAAACAATGGAGAGTAAAAATAAGAAACATCAAATGCTTCCGTACAGTACCCTTACAGTTGCTGCTAAATGCTCTTATGTAAACCAAGCATTCAAATAAACAACCTGTCCCTTACCAAACCCTCAAATGCAAAACATAGCAAGCTGCAGAAGAGATCTGCACAGAATATGTTTGCAACTATATGCATCCGTTACCTTTCTGTGCTGAGCTAAGTTACTAAATAAATAAAAAATGACCATAAATGTGACTAAATGGGTCCAGATTAAATATAAGAACAATGTAAGTAAATCAAACACATATGACGTGACAGAAATATGAGCTAAGGAAAAAATCCATTTAGCACACTCAGGACCCCAGCCGTAATGACACTGTCTTCAGAGGGAGGAGATTCCAGCAGGAGATACACTGAAAAATTCAAGTTAAAATCTGCTTTCAGTTAATATCAGGATAAAGCCAATTATCTCTGCTGAAGTCAAAGAGATTATCCTGGATTTACAATGAAGAATCAAAGCAGAGTCCGGCCAAAGAGGTGATATAACTGAATGACGAAAGAAGCTCTCACAACATTGTCTTGCAAGCAAAGATATGCAGAAGTTCAAAGGGTGGTTGTGTATGATGTTCCTCTTTTTGGCTTGAAATGGCAGTTGCCTTTGAGCTGCCATTTGGGCTTTTAAAAATCACGTCATCACTGGTTTAAAAGATCTTGTTTGATTATTGCAACAAATATGTAAGAGCTGAGCTGAGCTGAAACACTTAAAAGAAAAATGAAACATAAAATATGGAGTGAACACGAGCAAAAAAAACAAGGATAAATGCTGCAAAGAGGCTACGGTGTCAAATAAAATCCACAAAAGCTATGCCCATAAAAACAGGGGGCTCCCATGGTTAACTGTAGGAAATGGCCGGCATCAGAAAACAGAACTGCAGAAAAGGGCTCCCTTCTTCTCTGGAGGTCCTACAGACCTGCCACCCACAGAGCTGGCTTTCTTCTAGGTATTTCATTCGTTAACACGCAGCATGTCACATTTTAAATGACACATCAAGGCCTTAACTTGCTCAGACTGCCCAGGAATTTCCCTCCCCAGGTAACCTACCTTTGACTGTGAGGCTAAACGGAGAGGATCACATCACCTTCAGGAGTAGGTCCCACCAAGATGGGCAGCCTGGGAACACCTCACCATATTGAACTCACTGAGTTGGATGTGACTGACTTCAGCCACAGACAGCAGCACATTCAGCAACATTAAGTATTAAAATGTTTCCTTAATTAACAAGTAAAATGCAGTGACAGGGTCAAAATGATTGTTCCCTGGTCACAAAAAACAGGTCTGAGTGTTCTACCACCATATGTGGCTGTCAGACCATCTAGTCTGACCTTCTGCTCAGCATGGAGCATAGTTTTGAGTGAAATGACTTGTGTTTGCCAGGACAATGCCTCCAGAAAGGGGTTGTGCCAGTCATGATTTGAAAGTCTGAGCTATCCACTTGCTCTAATGTTTAATTATTTTCTTTGCTAATAAAAAAGCATGGCTTTTTTTTTCTTTTTTTTTTTCAGCTTGCCTGGCTTTCACCTCCTTCCCTTGGTTTTTAAGAGACCTTCTCTGCTAGCCTAAACACCTTTTTAGGATCTGGTATTTTTTGCATTAGGAAGGAATTAATATGTATAATCAAGACTCTTCTTA